ACTGCTTACGCTAACGTCCTGAAATTCTACACAGCTACATATGTTATCAATACCGTAGTTATGGCGAAAAGTGGTAATTATTGGAAAGGCTGGATCGATATACATTTACAAAAACGCGCAAGTATCATTCGATTGGGAATCACTTTCTCCTAGATTTCCAAATCCCATTGGACTATTGTAACTTTGTCTTTAATTTTCAGTAAGGTAAAATTTATGTGAAAATTTTGAAGAATTTTTTTAAATTTTTAACAAAGAATGGAACTTTGCTTTTACGACTTTCCCTATAAACNTTGTCTTTAATTTTCAGTAAGGTAAAATTTATGTGAAAATTTTGAAGAATTTTTTTAAATTTTTAACAAAGAATGGAGCTTTGCTTTTACGACTTTCCCTATAAACTGTCCTATCTACATACCTATTTACATAAAATGATAGACGTTTTCGTTGTTCGGCCTAAATTCAAAAACCACTGAATAGAGTTCCGTCAGATTGTTGGAGGTTATCTTACATACATATATGGTCCAATTACATGCTACTAGAAAACTCGCTAGGTGGTGCTGGAGTAGAGTTATTTATAAAAATCGTTTTTATTAACCGATTTCGTTCAAATTTTAAATTTGAGCTATATACCTGTATGATGGAAAATTCTTTTGATAAAAATTTACCTGATTAGTGCCGCTGGAGTTAAGGTTGAAATTCATAACACGTATTCATTTTATGGTAAGCAATGGTTTTGCAGAAAAAGAACCCAATGGGTGGCGCTGCAGCCGAAATGTATAGAAACCCCGTGTGGTTGGTCTGCTTTGGCCATATGTTTAAGTTATATATATTTAGTTTTCAGATGTCTAAATGAAGGATGGGGTTATGTTTTTCTGGCGCCCTCATGCACGATCATGCGGTCTTGCATCTACCCAGAAATCAGTTCATAAATTTTACTACGAATTGTAAAAGTGGTGAATTAACAAGGATAGATCACCGTAGGTATATCAATTGTTTCATTTAAAAGATACTTAAGAGATCGCTCGACTCATTTAGCAATGTACCTGTGGGACACCGAGGATTCTTGGCCCTCCTATAACAGAAAACACACTGTGCTCTTGAGTTCCCTATAAGAACTTTTATTGGCATACGCATCGCACCAATGTTGTAGTTGCAAGATCATACAAAAAAATTACGCATGCTTGGCAGAGATGTCACAGGTGGAAATAAGACCATAGGTAAAGCTCATGACACCGAAAGGGATTGGTATTCCATATGGTATCACAGCGTTACTATTATTGACCTGTGTGAGGAGGATACTGCGCCTTAATGGTTTCAACTTAAATCAAAAATTTTTACTTTACAGACTAATTTTGTTTTTAAATGCTCTTTTGCATTGGCCAACGCAAAAGCTCTTATTAGTCTTACATAAATATATGGTCCAATTACATGCTACTAGAAAGCTCGCTAGGTGGTGCTGGAGTAGAGTTATTTATAAAAATCGTATTTATTAACCGATTTCGTTCAAATTTTAAATGTGAGCTATGTACCTGTATGATGGAAAATTCTTTTGATAAAAATTTACCCGATTAGTGCCGCTGGAGTTAAGGTTGAAATTCATAACACGTATTCATTTTATGGTAAGCAATGGTTTTGCAGAAAATGAACCCAATGGATGGCGCTGCAGCCGGAAATGTATAGAAACCCCGTGTGGTTCGTCTGCTTTGGCCCTATATTTAAGTTATACGACTTTAGTTTTCAGATGTCTAAATGAAGGATGGGGTTAAGTTTTCTTGCATCTACCCAGAAATTAGTTCATAAATTTTACCACGAATTGTAAAAGTTGTGAATTAACAAGGAAAGATCACCGTAGGTATATCAATTGTTTCATTTAAAAGATACTTAAGAGATCGCTCGACTCATTTAGCAATGTACCTGTGGGACACCGAGGATTCTTGGCCCTCCTATAACAGAAAACACACTGTGCTCTTGAGTTTCCCTATATGAACTGTTATTGCCATACGCATCGCACCAATGTAGTAGTTGCAAGATCATACAAAAATATTACGCATGCTTGACAGAGATCTCACAGGTGGACCATCGGTAAAGCTCATGGCACCGAAAGGGATTGGTATTGCATATGGTATCACAGCGTTACTATTATTGGCCTATGTGTGAGGAGGATACTGCGCCTTAGTGGTTTCAACTTAAATCAAAAATTTTGACTTTACAGACTAATTTTGTTTTTCAACGCTCTTTTGCATTGGCCAACGCAAAAGCTCTTATTAGGCGCCGCGAAATAAGCGGGCATTGGCTAGTATATAATATTAATATACACTTATATTTTAACCATTTATAAATGTACAGAATGTAATTTATTTTTCTAATATAAAATAAAAGTGAATTTACATAAGAAAACACCTTTTTTTACTTTTTTATTATACTCGTTTTTAGTAAGTTAAAAAAAAGAAAGTATATTGTCTCTAATACGATTACCCACGGAAGCATAATTGGAATCACCGCTTTGTTCTTCTTCGGCCTCCTGGCGGATTTCAAAGTCCAATTCGTTTGCATTTAAATCTTCCACTCTGTAGTGAATGCAAATGTTGTGAAGTGCACAAGCAACGTTTATAATTAGACTGACTTTTTCGGTGAGTAATGCAGTTCCCGTGCACCCAACAAGCATCGGAAACGGTTTTTCAAGACTCCGATAGTGCGCTCCACTATATTTCTAGTTCTGGAGTGGCGCATGTTGTAATTGCTTTGTTGGGTGCCTTCACTTACAGACCGATATGGAGTCATTAGCCAGGGCTCCAAAGGATACCCCGCATCGCCTGTTAATAAAAGGGATCATTGTTCACAACAGAGTTAGACACACGACTTTCACAAGTAAATAAATACCTAACAACCAGGCGTTTCTTTCACCTTCCCGATATCGCCGTTCCATATAAAATCGCAGCTTACTCAAACCCATAGTTGCCAACTTAGTGCTTTAAGCACTAGATTTAGTGCTTTTTGAAAATTAAAACGCCAAAAATAATAGTTTAGTGCCTAGTGCCCTTTTTAGTGCTTTTTTCTGAACTAAAATTTCTGAATTTACAAATTTAAATGCACTAAAATGCAAACCTTGATTGATAAAAAGATGAAGTAGCAAACCCACGTTCTTGCGTTTTTGTTAAATTGTATTCGCGTTGAAAATGCTAGCACGCAGATAAGTTAAGTATTTATTTTTTTATTTTCTTGGTTATTGATTGATTACACAGTTCGAAAAATTTTAACTTTTTTTGCCACCTGAGTGGAACCGTTTTTTGTAGATTTTTCGGTGCTGAATCCAAATCTAGCTGCAGAATTTCTCTACCACGTTAGAATTTTGAGATATCCTAGCCTCTAAGTGTAAAAACACGGTTCTTCGCAATATTTGAGGTTATATTATAAAACAAAAAAATTTTTCGCTCACTTCCACTTAGGGTATCATTAAGTATTGCTCTTCCCCTTTAAAATTAAATTTCGTTTGTTGCGATTCGATTGTTTCTTCTCCAGATGTACCAGTTTCGCAAGCATGAATGTGTATTTATTTATACATGTAATTGTAATGTTTATTTTTTTACTTTTGTTTACCACAAACTGTTATGATAAAAAAAATTTAGTGCTTTTAGTGCGGTAAAACGCTCTTTTTTCCAAGGTTTGGTGCTGTTTGACACTGAAAAGTTGGCAACACTGCTCAAACTCCATATATGCGAGTCGTGATTGCATCCGGGATATCGCGCATCAATACTTCTTATACGCATTTTGTTATCGCACACCTGAAAATAGAAATTAAATTTACGAAAACAATTGAATCAAACTACGGCACTAATGTAATTGAAATAATGCTCACCACCATAGCGTTAATGCTAAAAAATCCTTTTCTGTTGTAATACAGAAAATCTTCTTCATATAGCTTGATTATTCTTATATGCGTGCCATCAACGCACATGATGACCCCTGGGAAGCCAGCCTTCGCATAAAACTCCTGTTTTGCTTGTATTTTTTCCTCTTCAGTCTGCTTAAATTTTATCCATTCAGGACAACGCTTTCGTTGCATCACTTCAAGAAATTTGGACAGTGACTTTGACACGGTTGCCTGACCCATTCCGACATTATAGTCTGCACCAACTCCGTGTTGGTAACTGCCCTCCGCAAAAAATCTTATCGCGGCCACTACTTGGTTAAGCGGTGATACAGACGTTAAGGTATTTCGCTGAGTTTCTCTTGCAAAAGTATCCAAAACATACTTGAAAGCATCCTTGTTAAGTCGAAAGTTCTTTTTGAATCTAAAAGTGTTAACCAATTTTATTAAGCTTAGCACTTTACACATGCATTTCTTACAATTCTTCGCTCATTTGGAACGGATCACACATATCTCTTAATCTCCGCCTTTCCACTTTCACCACAGCATTCGGGGATGCGTTGTGCTCCTCTTCAAGCAATAATGCCGCGGCTATGGATTCTATGATTATGTTTCGACTTAATTTAAGAAGAAACGAAATTTTGTTTTAAAATTACAATAATTTAAGATATATTTAGTTATTTTAGAATATTTACAAATGTTAACTTCTGAAGCTGCTATAATTTGGTGGCAAACGTTTCTTTGTTTTGTTTCGATTTCACACATTCCTGGGCAAACAGCTGATTTCGAAAGATGTTTTCTCTCTTCCTCTCCTTCTTTCATTTCCAGCGGAGCGGAATGCGGGAACGTAATCGAAATGCAGAATAGGGCTGTATATCTGCATTTATTTATTTGTTGTTTGTTTTAAAACGTACAAAGTACCTACATATTTGTGAGTGTGTAAATGTTTTGTATTTAAAAGATTTAATCTTAAATAAATGAATTGTGTGCTTTTGGAATGCCTTTTTGAAATTGAAATTTATTTAATTATAAATATTTGGGCCAAATTCTTATTTGTTATGTTTGCTGAGTTGGAGCTGCTTCGGCCGATAGAGTTAAAAAAGCAATTTTTTTTTTAATTTTCCTTTTACCCTCCTACGCGTTTCAACGCTCCCGCGTCTTCATCAGGGAGTCTTTATTCGAAAAATAAAAACAAATAACCAAATAAGCATGATTAGCAAGTAAAATTCGCTGATGCAAGAACAATAAACATTGTTAGCGACAATTACTTTACACTAATTCTGACTTTGAACTCACATTTACATAAATATTATTGACAAAATTTTTTTATCAAACGATAAACGTTAGCACCATTTTAAGTATCTTTTCACAATATTACCAAATTCCAATCCTATATTCTTATTTATATTTGTTATTGATTACAGCTGCATACACTTTGTTGGTGTTATCCACGTCCTCTTTAAAGTTGATCGCATTGTCTATTTGTTGTTGTATACGTAGGCTTTCTAATGTCATTCTCCTTTTTACCCCTCTTTCGATGTCCAAAATTCTCGTATTCCCAAAGTCCGCAAAGTGTTCGTGCTTCGTCAAGTGTTGTGCAAATGCTGTTGTCATCTTTTTGTTTCTCTCATCCGTTGTAGCAGGTAGTGAATTTTTCTTCAAACTGCATTTCGCTAAGTGTGGAGCTGTGTGGTTTAGTTGGAATTTCCCTGAATACAAGATATTTCGTAAATACGTACGTTCTTCATAAAATTTTATTTTGTAAGAGTTTTGGGTGTGCACCTACATAAATGAGATAAACGATGCGGGTGCTCCATTCGTGATCACTCACAACAGCTTATCCTGAAAACTTTTTAGGGCGTTGTATGAAAGATGTTTTTTCGCTTTTCTAAGGAATTACGCTATAATTGCACGTATACATATACATATGCATTGTCGTCAGAGGTAGAAGTAATGGGAAATCTTTTCCAGTAAATTCTGGAATGTTCTTGTCGGATATATATAAGAGGGCGAACACATTTCTTTATCCAAACATCGGTAGAGAGGAGTGTTATACAGTGCTTAGTAGCGACTATTTAAATAAATAAACGATATAACAATATTGAGAAAAGACAATGGGAAGGAAAAAAACTGATTTGCAAAATTACGTTAAGTACGATGAAACTACCAAGAAAAGTACATGCATTGTAGAGTCGTGTAAAAGAGCAAATATTAAAAGACATAAACTTATACACAAAATAGATATAGAAAATAGTGATGAAAGTGATGATGATAATACTTCTACCACAAAAAAAAAAAAAACGTGTCAAAGTTAAGTACTAGTTTAGACAGAGACAGTTTTTTGAGATGCTGCATGGGACTGGTCACCAAACAAAAATATTCCCTTTCGAATATATGATGACGAGGAATATTTTAAACAACTTATATCACCATACGAGCAGAAGTTTGGTATACATTTAAACTCAAAGAACATAGTAAGCCTTCTTGACAAAGCAAGTCAACAAATTAAGGAAAAAATAGGTCATTCGGTAAAAAATAAAATAATATCTATGAAAATTG